ATGATAGGTCAAATACTTTTTTACTTCTGGGCCACTTAGTTTCCGTTTCTAAATAGAAAAGCTAGAATAGCTGTCCTCTTGAGTAATATAGAATAAAACCACCTATAGAAATTGTACAGTTTATGCAGAAATAGAATAAATGAAGAAATACGTATTTAGATTTTTATAAAGTATATCCAGGAGAAGGTCATGCAGGAGTGGAGATTGCAAGCCTGAGTATTAGAACAGAGACAGTGGGCTAGGAAGGAGTAGGCAAGGTAGTACACCAGGGCTTGATGTCACAGAGTGTAGAGATTAAGAGTCTAAATTCAGAATGAGCAGGAGCGGTAACAAAATCAGTTTTCTAAGAAAAGGCATTGTTTCCCAGACAGGGGGTAGTCTAGAATTAAATTTACCGCTGTCATAAAGTATTGTATCCCAAGTATAAGACCGTCTCATGGGGAGGGAAGGTGGGTGCAGAGGATGAATGAAGGGTGTGGAAGACTCTCATCATGCCCAGAGCTCTAGATCTCAAGGCAGATAGTTTCTCAGACTAGTTTCAAGATAGGAGAAATGTTAATCTATTACATGAGATTTTCCAGGCTAGAGTGAAGTAAAAAGAAATAATAATAATAAGCTTTCTGGCTAGCAGGTGATGTGGTGGTTAAGGTGCTAGATCCCACATGGCCATCCCCACAGTTCAAGTCCTGGACCTGGTAGCCTAAAAAACACATGTGTGCATGCATGCCCAAAATCCAGAGAGGAGAATGGAGGAGAAAGGATTGCAGGGTGGCCATCCCCCATGGGGGATGATTTTTTACTTTCCCTCTCTCTCTACCTCTCTCTGTTTCTTTGGTAAGTATACATACCCTATGGGAAAAAAACTGAAAAAAAATGGAGAGCAAGTAAATAATAGTAATAATCTTTATCTTGAAGAAAAAAAATTTTTTTGGAAAATTTCTCAGTCCTGTTTCTTCACACCTTTAGTGCCATATTTGCCTCTTCTATTTTCTTTGAAATGCAGTAATAGAAATTGAAACTTGTTTAGTAAATAATACCTGATAGAATATGTATTTTATCATATATGTGTTTTTAAAATAATTATTTATCTTTGTTTATTTATTTTTTAAATTTGACCACAGAGGGACAGAGTGAGAGAGAGAGAGAGAGTGAGAAAGCAAGCCACCAGGTCCGGACTCAAACTGCAGTCGGCCATGTGGGAGTCCAGTGCCCTTAACCACCATGCCACCTGCTGGCTGCTATCATGTATGTGTTTTAATGCCAGAGGATATGTTTGTGTGCATAAGTAGGGTTACAGTGGACCTTGGTCATGCTGCTGTAAGAGGGGAGACCCAAATCTGAGAAGGCTTGCTTGTAATGTTTATCAGTGCCAAAGAACATACCTGGAGGTCCCATGGGGGAAGACATGAGTTTGCTTACACAGGACAGGGTGTTCTGCTGAAGGCTGGGCAAAGAATGGTCCCTGCTGCCACAACATAGGCTCATATTACATATGTAACAAATCCAAGAGCATGTACATCACCTATAAGATCTGCACAGACTCCCTGTCAACAAGGCCGGGATCTGGTTTCTACATCCATTATAGGGGAATTAGAATGGTCAGATTATAGATTAGCAGAGTTGCCAGAGTTTGTACATTAATTTAGTGCATCTGATCTGGAGACGATGATGTGGGAGAGGGGTACACATCTCAGGCATGGCCTGGCCATGAGCCAATTCCATGCAGTAAGGAAATGGTCATGAGATGTTCACTAGGCCCAGCTGGACTTGCAACCTGGTCTCAGGGAGATAGGGTGAAAAGGAAAGGGGGAAGAGAGATCAATGTAGGGAACCTATCCCAGACACAATTATTTTTTCTTCCAATTATTCTTCCTGTCCAGATCCTGGGCATGTGTGTACATACCCCGTGTGAAGTCTATGGGTTTGGGACTCAAACTCCCAAGTCAGTCATTTGGGATCTCATTTCTTCTTTGGAGCACTTAGCCATTGCACTATGGGACATACACACACACACACACACACACACACACACACACACACACACATATATTATACACATACATATTTTTTCTTTAAGAATTATTTTATTTAAATTTATCTATTTAAATTTGACCAGAGAGGGACAGAGTGAGAGAAAAAGAGAGAGAGGGAAAGTGAGAAAGCAAGTAGCAAGTTGTCAGGTCCAGGACTCAAACTGCAGTCTGCCATGTAGGAGTTCAGCATCCTTAACCACCACGCCACCTGCCAGCCCCTAGAGTATATACTTTTTCACTTAATTAAAGATTTTAATTGGGAAGGAATGCTGGCAGGTGGTGTGGTGGTTAAGGAGCTGGACTCCCACGTGGCCAGCTGCAGTTTGAGTTCTGGACCTGGTGACTTACTTTCTCACTTTCCCTTTCTCTCTCTCTGGTCAAATTAAAAAATAACAATAATAAATAAAATAATTAAAAAAAAATCTTAATTGGTTTTATTTGCAAGTCTAGAACTGGGAAACACTTTATCCCATAAAACAGAATAAGTGTTCCCTATTTTTTATTGAATATAATTCATATGACATGAAATTTGCCATCTGAAAGTGGATAAGTCCATGGTTTTAATTATATTCACTGTATTGTGCAACCATCATCACTAAATTCCATCTCCATCACACCAAAAAGAACCCTGTACCTACTGGAAGCAGTTAGTCCTAGTTTACCTCTCCTTCTAACTTCCAGCAACCACTAATCTACCTTTACCTCTGTGGATTTTCCTGTTCTGGATAGTTCATAAAAATGGAACCATACAATATATAACCTTTATATAGCTTCTTTTATTTTGCATGTTTTCTAGGTTCATCCATGCTGTAGCATGTAACTACTTCATTTTTGTGACTGAATAATATTCCATTGTATGGTATACCACATTTTGTTTATCCATTCATTAGTTGATGGACACTGGAGCTTTTTCCACTTTTGAGTTATTATGGATAATGCTGTTATGAGCATTTTTGTGTGGGCATATGCTTGTATTTCTCTTGGGTACTTAAGAATGGAATAGCTAGATTACATGGTAACACCATATTTAACTTTTTTGAAGAACCCCAAACTGTTTTCCTAAGTGGCTACACCATGTTATATTCCCATCAATACTATATGATGATTTCAATTTCTCCACATCCTTGACAGTTGTTATCATTTATTTTATCTTTGGTATCACCAGAGAGAGAGAGAAAGAAAGTGAAAAAGCATCCCACTCAGGGTATGGCCGTGTCACAATCTTTTCTTCTCCATTATCCTCTCAGTATTTTAAGCATACATGTGCACATACCCAGCATGTTTTTTAAACTGGTAGGTCTAGGACTCAAACCACATAGTTGGTCATATGGGATTCAACCACCTTAACCACCACACCACCTGGCTAGCCCAACCCTTATTGTTTTCATTATTGCCATACTAGCAGATATGAAATATTTCATTGCAGTTTTGATTTGCATTTTCTAATGAATAATAATGTTGAGCATCTTTTACCATACTTACTGGCCATTTGTATATCTTTTCTAAAGAAATACCTACTCAAATTCTTTGTCAATTTTTCACTTGGGTTGCTATTTCGTTGAGTTATAAGAATTATTATTATTTTATTTGGAGAGATTTTTGCTATATTTCACGTGTACTCACCAGAGAGACAGAGAGACAGAAAGTGAGAAGTCACCACCCAGGGGGATGGCCACGCTGCAATCCCATTTCCTCCATTCTCCTCTCAGAATCTTGGGCATGCACACACACACACCCAGTATGTAAGCCCCCGGTTGGGGGACTCAAAGCGCAGTCTACAGGGGAGTCCAGCGACACAGCCACTATGCCAACTGCTAGTCCTGGGTTATAAGAATTTTTTACTTTGAATAAAAGTATCTTACATGAAGGCCAGCAGGTGGTGTGGTGGTTAGGTTAAGGCACTGGACTCCTACATGGCTGACCATGCTTTGAGTCCCAGACCTGGCAGTTTGCTTTGTCATTTTTCATCTCTCTCTTGTAGGAAATTTTAAAATATTAATACATAAATTAAATATTTATTTTTTAAAAGTTTCTTATATAATTTATAAATATTTTCTCCCATTCTTGTGAGTTGACTTCACTTTTTTCATAGTGTTCTTTGAAGCATATACTTTTAATTTCGATGAAGAGGATATCTATTTTTATATATTTGTATGTGGCAGGGCTCTGAAAGTCTACACAGGACTACAAAATGTGACTTGTGTTTTCTCAGGTTTGAGTTTCTTTCTTTCTTTCTTTCTTTCTTTCTTTCTTTCTTTCTTTCTTTCTTTCTTTCTTTTTATTTTTTGCTATAGGGGACGTGTGCTCACCAGATTCAGGAAGAGATAGAAAATAAGAAATCACCCCTCAGGAGGGATAACCATGCCACAATCCCTTCTCCGATCCCTTCTCTAGTCTCCATTCAGGATTATGGGCAAACACACACACCTGCCCAGAGTGAATTTCAAGCCACTGAGTCTAGGACTTGAACCATGGTCAGCTACATAGGAGTCTAGTACCTTAACCACTATGTTAACTGCCAGTCCTACAGGTTTGACTTTCTATCATTTGTTGAGCACTGTGTAAAATACTCTGCTAGCTGTAAAGGGATAGAAACATAAACTTTACATTCCAAGGAATTTCAGGTGTAGACAGTGGACATATACACATACAAATAATGATCAGGGCATGCAGAAGAGATTTCAGAGCCCAAGGAGTGGGGCAGGGCAGACAGCTGACACATGACTAGAACTCAGAGAAGGAAGCATGTTCTGGGAATGGACTGAGCGAGCTGAAAAGGATCCATACAAGAAGCCTAAAAGGCTGGAGGCTGGTAGGGGGATTCATGAACCAGGAGGAGGATAAGAGAGAGTTCCACATGAGAGAGGACAGCCCCATGAGGTTGAGCCCACCAGGCACATTTCTGTTTTATACTAGGGCTCATTTGTACTTCTGCAAAACTCACTTAGGACTTTTAATTTTTTTAAGCAGCTGACCACAGACAGAAAAGATTTGGCCCAGAGTGCTGAGGATGCACACAAGAGCAGCAGCCCAGAGCTCTTTGCTGGTAAGGTTTTAGCTTTTCAGGTGAGCCCTGGACTGAAGCTGGGAAGTAAAAATACATGACTGCATGCTTTCCAGCTCTTCTCCTGCATCTTCAGCCACAGCAACATCCTTCTGGGATTTGCTTGGCTCCCACCACCACCACTGTGTCTTCAGGGCAGCAGCAAGCATATAGTTACACATGGCTACACATGATGAGGTGGGCAGTCGTAAGCAGACTCAGAGCCCAGAATCCAGTGGTTTCTTCACATCTTTTCTTGGTCATTAGTGTTGATGGTGCAGTTATCGCCCATTTTGGTTAATGCTCTGGGGCTCTGGAGGTTGCTTCTGAGTGCAGACACCACCTCAACCTTGATATGTGTCCTGGGGAGGTGTCATGTGATAACAGTTATACTGAAATCTTCTCCACACACACACCCAGTCACCCCCCCACAGCACGGGCACACACGCGCGTACACACACACACACACACAGTCCCCAGAGCAGCAGCAGCAGGAGGAACAACTGTCATGTACAGTCACTGGCAGTTGCCAGGTATCTTCTGAGCTTTTAAAATATAATGCTGGGCTAGCTAGTGGCGTGGTGGTTAAGGTGGCTGGATCCCACATGGCCAGCTGTGCATTTTGAGTCTCAGACCCAGTAGCTTGAGAAACATGACAGGTGTGTGTGTGTGTGTGTGTGTGTGTGTGCACATGTGTGCCTGGAATCCCAAGACAAGAATGGAGGAGAAAGGACTGCAGTTGGCCATCCCCCTTGGGGTAGGTGCTTTCTCATTTCCCTTCCTGGTCCCCACTGCCCCACCTCTCTTCAGCATACACACGCACCTGCCCTATAGCAAAAATAAATAAATGAAAAATAAAGTATTAATATTCTTAGTTCTTAAAACAATCCTATGACCTGTAGGTACTATTATTCTCATTTTTATAGAAAACATAGAGGCCCAGAGATACCAATAAATTTATTCCAGGTTATATAGCTAGTAAATGACAATGCCAGAGTTCAAACCTAGGTAGTCTGTCTCTGGGTAAGCCAAATTAGCAGGGGTGCCCTCCTACAGATCCTGAGTCCTTCAGAAAAAATAGTATCCGGGCTTGAGGGAATGTGGGAACTTCAGTTCATGGGCTTTGTTAGTAAATCTCTTTCCAGGATCATACTATAATATGCTTGTTGTCCAAGCTTAAGCCCAAGATGTGTTCCTGAATCATTCTGTTTATTAAACTACATTTTAAATGTTACAGGGGCCGTTGCTACTGAGAAAAATCTTGTGTGAAGGCAGTGAATGTCTGTGTAAAGTGAAGAATCTATTTTTATAAATTTAGAGATTTTTAAAAATGAAAGTATACTATATACAGTTCAGTAATTATGCAGTGAGGATAGACAGAAGACCATGTATCTTCTCTTAGAAAGAAGAAAATCTACATTTAACTCAGCACCTTCAGTGGACAATGGGGAGATACCCCCAAGATCAGCTCCTTTTACTTTAGTCTGTAATAATTAATAGTCCTATTTTCTTTTTTTAAAAAAATTGTTATTTTAATTTATTATTATTTAATTTGATCACAGAGTTAGGGAGAGGGAAAGTGAGAGAGCAAGCCACCAAGTCCAGGACTTGATCCACGGTCAGCCATGTGTGAGTCCAGTACCTCAATCACGGTGCCACCTGCTGGCCTCAGCAGCCCTATTTTCTATCCAGCTGTTCACATCTGAAATCTTGGGTTCATTTGTGAGTCCTCTCATTTTCATGTAACACATTCAGTAGATCACCAAGGCCTGTCATTTGGGCCAGAAAAATACTCCGACTCCTAGTGGTGCCTCCATCCCTATTGCCTTCACTTCTAGGCTCTTCAGGTCTTCTTGCCTCTAGGTTAAGCAGACCTTTGATAGAAAGATCTTTCTTAACTATAAGATTAACTATATATTTTTCCAATGCTTTAAGCTCTTCACTGATTTCTTACTCATTTCCTCCAGATAAAAATTCATTTCTGAGCAGGCCCTGTGGCCCTGTGGTTAAGGGAGCTGGGTCCCCCATGTCCAACTACAGTTCAAATCCTGGCCCAGTGGCTTGAAAAACACACAAGGCATGTGTGCATGTATGCTCAAAGCCCTGACAGGATGGAGAAATGGAGGTGAAGGGATTGTGGTGTAACCATGGCCCACTGGGGGTACTTTGTTTCTTCCTTTCTGTCTCTGGCAAGCACACATGCCCTCTGGCAATTTATTTAAAAACCCATTTCTTTTTTCTTCTAATCTTCTCTTATTCCTACTAACACTTCCAGTTTCATCTAGAATTCCATACCTTGAATTTTATGTAGGATGTTGTTTTATGAATGGATATGCTTCTGCATAACTTTCAGGATGTAACTCCTGTTCTATTGCTTCTGTCTCGAGTATTTCTCTTCATCCTTCAAAACCCAGCTCAGGTACCTCCTCAGAGAAACCATTTTTCACCACCAGATGGTCAACTTCTGGAGTTAACCTTCTTTATCCTACCCCTGGGCTTTGTACACATTTCTGCAACCTAGGCTTTTCTCCCAGGGAAAAGTTCATTGATATATTATATTCCCAGAACCTGCTCAGGAAGAATCTATCTATCCAAACTCACTTTAAATTTGCACAAGTGAGTTAACTTACAAGTAGGAATGCTGGATTGGGGCATTGCCCAATGCAACATAACAAAGGGAGAGCCAGAAGAGACCAGAGAAGTGAGGCGAGCTTTTTGGCAGGGACTTAAAAGTGCAAGCCTCAGGAATGATGTGTGCCGAAAGTGAAGGCTTGGTACAATTTGACTCTCCATTCCAGGCCTAGCCGGGGTGAAGGCTTGGTACAATTTGACTCTCCATTCCAGGCCTAGCCGGGGAGGAGGCGCGGGGGGGTGG